TGTGCTTCCCCCTGCTGCTCCCCTAATGTGACAAGGGACAGGGCCATTGACGTTGTTTAGCGGGAAAGAGAAGACAGAGAGTGCTCCCAGAGGTGTGTAACGAGGCTGACTCACCCCGCCACTAAAGCAACGTGTTGAGACGGGCAGTCGACAAACGACGCGTCTTAACCCTCTGAAACCAGTGGCAAGACCAGGGCAAGACACGAGGTGCCGCACACCAGTCCTTGAGCTTTCTCATGGGGCTCCTTTTACATACGCAGGATAATTTAAAATGTAAAAATATCCTAAAGAGCCAATGAAAGTGAGCATTGAAATTGGCTTTTTTTTTTTTGTCATTTGGAGGAAATTGAGGTTTGGCTTTGATGGCTTATCCGGAGGTTGATAAGACGAGATGAGTGTAGAAGAGAGGGATGAAGAAATAGATGGAAGGTGATGTAACATGTGGTGTGAAGAAGGTCACAGGGAGTTAAAAGAGAACAGGCCATTGAGAGGGAATTGAAGGAAAGGATTAGATAAAAAAAAACAGAATGAGACAGAGAGGGGTATAAAGGAGAGGGGTGAGGCAGTGGGAGGAAAGGAAGAGAGACGAGAGAAACATAGGAGGTGAAAATCAAAGCTTGCTTCAAAGGTCACATGCACTTTGTTCCTGATGACAACCATTTCCCTTTTGTCTTCTCTAAGTGTCAGACGGGACATAAAGCAGGGAGATTTTTTTTAATTCCCCGGAACAGAAACCAGGACCAAATCCCTGCTGCAAAGCCACACAAACATGCATTGAAGATAAAACAATGTTTTAGCTGACAGTTTTTAAACTGTTCAGAATTAGGTCCAAACTCCCTAATAGTGTCAAATCTGTTTTCGCGCTGTTAAATTGCAATAAAAAATCAGGCCTGTAATGCCATGACAATGTGATAATGTCGATCCAACACATTTTATTTGCGAGCTTGATGGGTATGATCTGAGGGTTAATGAGGAAAAGGAGGAAGCTCATGAGAAAAAGAAAGGTGCAAAGTAAGAAATATACAGCAACAATGAGAAAAATAAAAGGATAGGAAAAGAAAATAGATATTTAATGATTATTATTAAGGCATATTAGGAGAGAAATAGGCCCCTGGTTTGCTGCTAAGGATATTGATGCTGCTGCAGTGCTCTGCCTCTGCTAACCTCTAACAGCCATTCATTTCACAGACAGGCCACAGTGTGGAGGAGACGACTGTCTTTACACCGAGGCTGCTGCTGATGAGACACTGCAGACTGACAAACTCCGCTTCTCATGTCCAAAGGGCTCGTAAACAATGCTAACAATTATGATGTGCTTTTGGACCTTCTCCAAAAAAATGTAATGAGATTTCAGCTTTGAAAAAACATGTGAGAAAGAGGGCATATGATATGAGGTAAAGAAGAGCTGGGAAGAAGGGTAAATGGATGAGAGATGAAGAAAAAAGGAATATATTAAGATAATGTCGATCTAGCAGCGCCATAATTATCCTCAGATTGACAAATATTGTCTTCCAGAAAATGTCAGACAACACATGGAATTGGGTTCTCAGCAGTGGTGACAGCATTTTGTTAACAGCTGTTCAACAAAAAGTATTTCACTTCACTCGACAACATCTCTGCTTTATTGCCTGAAACAACACCTCCCTCCTTTCTTGCCTCCTCTGTCTGTCTGTCCCCCCCCCCCACCCCCCCCCCCCCCCCCCCCCCCCCCCCCCCTGGCTCGTCTCCCCCACCACAAACTGACACTTTCTCTGTCCTTCCCTTCCCCTCTTTTTTTTCTCAGACTGCAGACTGGAGACAAACCAGAGCTCAGAAACCTCTTTCCATTTGATGCACTGACTATTCGCTATCTTTCACACATGCTTTCCCATCCTTTCCTCTTCGTCCATTTCAACACTTGACTCTTCAGAGTGATAGTATCTCTTAACAAGCTCCAATCCCACCTTGCCCTCTCTGTGCACATTGACAGATCAATAGTCCAAACTGTATATCACAGGTCCTCACCTCATCATTAAGTAGCGGCTGACCCCTGACCTGCACTGTGTTGTGGAACAGAGGGTTGTTAACGCTGAACATCCCCAATCATTTCCCCTTTTGGGTGGAGGGATTAGTTGGAGTAGGTGGAGATTTTCCCTCACGTGTGCCACATCGCTGACTGTCGACAGCCACACATGGAGGGGCTTTAAGAAAGAGGGAAGGAACGCACCAACATACTGTTAAGTATGTGGGCTCCTGCGTGTTGCTGTGCGCTTGGGAAGGAGCGACACGTGCACATTTCTGTTGGCACAATGTGCACACATGTCGACACCATTCAACCATTTGTTGACACATATTCAACATACACTTATTATAAGGGTTTATTATGCATGACAACTGAGCCTCTTCATTTCACACGTATAAGCACTGGAAAAGCTAGCCAATGACATTTGAGAGTTGATATTCATTTGCATATTCTGGTTCCGACAAATCATAATAATAATAATAGTTTAAATGATATAGCGCTTTTCTATGTCCCTTCCAACTTAAATGACCAAATATTAATAATTTGTAACTCTCATTCACAATGACCTAACATAGCACATTTTCTGAGCACTTGAAAGCAACACAAATGATTTGCTTGCACACAGTGATTATCTGATATACTAATGTAATATAATGTAATTGAATTGAACAAATGTAATCTTTTTAGTTGCATTGTGCCCTGCTGCAAAGACATGTTACAAACATTGAACCATTGGAATATGTGCAAGTAATTTAAAGGCAGGCAAATTAAATAAATATTTAAGCATTAACAGTGACCTAAAATTTAAATTGCACATGGGCAGGTAAAGAGTCTATAAACGGCATCATAAAGAACTCCCTGCTTGAGAAATGCTCCACTCAAACACATTGCATAAAAGCAGCTGTATCAGGCCGGATATTCAGAGAAGCTTTAACACCCAGTTACGACACACAAAATCACTCACCATCTTCAACATACTCTACAGTAAGTGTCTCAGATGTGAGTGATTTGAGACACACTGTACTGTACAAAGAGCAGGCCTAAATTCTGTAATCCCTGCATGTCAGAAACTCCGCCGTGTCTCTGTTTGCTATGCCAGCACATGTCTCTTCTGTCTCAAGCAGTGTGGTGTGGTGAGCAGAGAGAGAGCGAGTTAGCAATTAATTAAAAATGTGGCAATTCGTCTCAGCGCTGTCGTCTCCTCCACTCGGGCTCAGAGGTGCTACTTCACTGCCTCTGCTGTTATTAATCTATTTTTTTTAACTCCGCTCTTCTTCTTCTTCTTCTTCTTCTTCTTGGTGTCCTTGTCCTCCCCATACTCCATTCTGTTCAACCTGAGATGTCGGTTGATCATTTCCCTAGGTCACACACTTCCCACCAATTAACTTAACGCAATCCCTTTTCGCATCACCTTCAATCTTCACGCTTTTCACCCTCACATTTGTGCTCTCGAAGTGACCCCCCTCTGTGTCTGCAGCTTAAAGGTCAAAGTCTGCAAGAATCTTACAGACATGAGGATGACCTTCTGAAGCCCTGTTGCTTTTAAATAACTAATGAAAACTGTCTGATAATCAAGGGTAACAGCTCCAAATGCTTTGAGAGTGTTAAATACTGTATGTGTGAGTCCTTAGGTCACACCACTACTCCTCCCACATGCTGCACTCATGAAACATTTATGATTCGGCTTGAGTGGAACGTCACCATGATTAAATAAGTCGATCTCGGCTGCTGCGAAATATCAGCCTGCTGCACTCAACTATTATTTCAGACGTAAGATTGCATTACACTCCCAGGCTAGTGTTATTTAGTGATTAGCAACCTAAATCGCATTTGTAAAGATGACTTCAGCTGCAGAAACAGATACAACTTTCGAGGCAAGAAAACAATTAAATGATGTGCAAGACTTAATTTGTCAACCAGGATAATTAATTAGACTAGATTTAATCACAACGACAGACTTTTACTTTTACAAGGCTGCAAATCTTGTGGAGCAACTGCAGTCTTGGCGTCCTAAAGCTTTTCATTATGCATTGCAGATTTGTTCTAAACCAGGACAAAATAACATCTCACTCCGAGTCGAGAGGAGAGGTGCAGAGCTTACGTTAATGTAATGTATTAGCACAAATAAGACAATAAAAGTCATTAGATGTATTTATCAGAATCAGGATGAATAGTAAAACACTGGATGCACCTGAAGCATTTTAGTGCTGAAGCAGGGTGGATGTTTCTAACCTCACTGAACCCCATACCTCTGATAGACATTCACACTTTTCCTCTTTTATCTGACCTCTGTTTCCTGCCTCTCTCTCTCTCTGAAACACACACACATTCAAATACACACATGTATGCACACACCTCTTTGCTTCCCTGTGTGAGAGCAGGTCAGCGCTCATAGATCACGCAGTGGGAGAGAGGCAGTAAATGAGTCCGACAGTGACCGTGAATGGACTAATCAGTCAATGGTAAGGACGCAACAAGGAAGTGTCATTAATGCAGGTCATCAAGATGAGCCATACGTAACACACACTTGTCCCCGAGGTCAAGCCTGAGTCATTACAGACACACTCTGTCATGCACCCATCGCCAGAACCACTGCAGCCTAACAGAAAAGGTGCTGTTTTAAAGGTTAATAATCAGATTGAATTACGCTTTGCACAATTTCTTTAAGTGGTGCTTGACTATTTCCACCTAAAAAAAGACACATGTACAAAACCAACACCAAACGGACAGGCAAAGCACAGACAAACACACACAAAATAAGTGTGCATGCACAAGTGATTGCCACAAGGTCAGGATGACAAATCAACAGTGTGTGCATGTGTCTGTGTGTGTGAGACTTTTTGCAGCTGTGCACAACTCAAACCGGCAGACAAGTACACATCATATCAAGATGCAAAGCGTGACTCTTGCATCCCGCTGGGGAGCAAATGAACACAGAATGAGACGTGCATGTGATTAGACACAGACATCAAACACACACTGTGCGCACATCTCTTACCCGGCAGGCCGAGGCAGAGCAGGACGCTGTAGTAGATGACAGGCAGTGGTCCGAGAGGGCACCCCTGGGCGAACTCAGAGGGATGCTGCTCTGGGCTCCAACTGCTGTCATTTGGGGAAAAAACAGGGAAGATGTGGCTGTGCTCCATGGCCTCTTCTTTTGTCCTCTTCCTCAGCTGAGCTCAGTGTCAAGAAGCCGGCTGGCCACACAAGCAAACCGCCTGGTCGCCGGGATGGGGAGAGAGGGTGCTCTGTCCTTGGGTGCCAATCAGCATGAGTGTGTGCACGCCTGGGTTGAGTGTGTGTGATGGTATAGGGGAGACAACAGACTGGGAGATGCCAGAGATGAAATGTGTTAGTAGGTGACGGAGAGAAAGGAGGCGAGAGAAGCAGAGAGGTGAGTATGAAGGTAGAAGTGGAGAGGGGAGGATGCTGCCTGAGTGTGTGAGTGAGGGGGAATGAGAGCGAGTCGAGAGAGCAGCAGGAGAAGGAGGAGGAGGAGGAAAGAGGGAGGGAGGGAGGGAGGGATGGAGGGAGGGAGGGAGGGAGAGCAAGGGTATGCTGAAGATTAGAAAGTGAAGGAGAGAGACGGAGGCTGGGAGCTGACGGAGGCTCATGGAGAGAAAGAGGGGTTCCTGTTTGAGGCCCAGGAAATACAAAGAGATAGTAAAACTGTTGCAGACAAGAAAAGATAAATGGACTGTGGAAAATGATAGTGTTTGTCATACTGCCAATATTGCACATCTCTTTATTTCTTTTTATATTCTGTAACCTCATGATTGTTGTTGATGTAATAATGTGTTCAATAATGAGTGGACAAGCAGTATCCAAACAATCCTATTTGCATTTCCTAAACGTTACAGTACACAGTATGTGATCTGTGGGTTTGACGTGGGAGTGGGAGTGGGGGTTGGGACCAAATCTAATTTGCCATGCAGTGTGAACGTGTCTGAATCTCTAGTTATAATGTGCTAATGAGCAGAAGGCTGACACTGAAAAAACACACAGTGCTTCTAAAGAAAGACCCTCTTCTGTGGTTTATCAGTCAGTCATTTCCAATAAATGCCTTGGTTGTTTATTGTGAAAAGTGGAATTTATCATTCTATATATGCACACCATCGTGAACATAACCATAAAGTTAATAAACATCGAATTAATGGACTGTGTTATCCCTCTAACGGTTTCTGCTGCATCATCGCTTTTACTGCCCTAATGAAGGCAACGTAGCAGACAAATACACAGTACAATGGAGAGGAGTTATGGGACCCTTTTGTATGAATTGCTTTTGAAGGTCTACAGAATAATAAAACAATTATGACACACTCCAAAGGGAAGTCTTACAAGTGTTTGTTTAGTCGGTTGAACAGTCAACAACATCAAATAATAGGATATGCCAGATTAAAGCCATTTAAGGTGTGTGTACTTGTCTTGTCAGGTCGCTGATTTATGTTTTCTGCTCTCAAGTGCTACTGTCATTACTGCGGAGGAAGAGTGAACACTTTAACATTTAAGGTTTTTTTTCGCCATGGGAAGTCGCCCCCCTCTGACAGATTAAATGTATTACTCACAGCACAAGTCTGATATTGCTTATGACAGACTTACTTTGGTCAAAAAATACGATACAGTATATTCTGCTTCATCCAACTTGAACAGTCTTAATGTGGAGTAGGCAGCTAATTATATCAGTAGGAAATTACTTGATGAGTATTATGTAGCTTACTAAACACTTACTTTAAATCAAACTCAATGATTCCTTGCATTGTACTGAGAAATGCATCTTTTAATAAAAACAGGAAACACGATAATGCTATATTGGAAACTTGTCCATCAAGTAATAACGTTATCATGCTAGCAAGAGCTTCAAAGTATATGGTAAATGACTTCCACCATCGATTTATATCCACACGTCATACTGCTACAGAGGTGTTTTTCTCAGCTCTCACATTCATGCCCTAAAAACCAATTCAGTCCTTTTGCCTTCATCTTTCTCCACATGAACCACTGTGCAATCATAGACATGACACGAAAAACATGTCAATTTTATATATTTTTCTTGATATGTAGTCAGACGTGCGGATACATATTGTCACTATCATTGCTATCAACAATTTGCAGACTCCTCTGGGCTTTTAGGAGTTGCCACATGTGCAGGAAGTGGACACCAGAGCAGCTTTGGCATGAGTATGGTGAAAAATCATGTCCATCATTGCTGTGTCTCTGCTCTCTCTGTGCCTCTTCAGCACAATCAAGGCCTACGCACACCACCGAGGAAACACAACCACACTCTGCTCTGCTGTCTGAGTGCGATACGGTTTATCATTTAAAAGGTAGAGCATGCAGGTAGTGACAAGGACCTGATGGCAGACAGGATTAAAGACACAAAGAAAAAGAGAAGAGAGAAGATTTTTTGAAAGAAAACTCACAAGTTAAAATACTGGCGATCACAAAAGAGAAGCAGAACAATCTGAAAACCTTTCCTTGAGATCCAATTATGGCATCACTTCGGATGGAGGTCACCGTATGAAAAGAAGAATGATTACAGGAGCAGTCCAACAATGGCTGGCCTTCTTCTGCTGAATGCCTCTTGAATGAGAGGATAGTGAAGAAAAAGTGAGGAAAGGTGAGAGGAGCGTAAAGGAGCAATCACATGCTCTTATTTCTTTTTTTCTACATGTCAACAAACGAGCTGCAGGGGATGCAGGGAGGGGAGCGCCGCGATTAAGTGTTAAATAAAATATGTCCAGCTGACATGAATTGATCACGGAGAAATATGGGACAGGGAAAGGTGATTCTTCAACAGTAGCTACTATAGCTGTGAAAGACCCCCACAGGGGCAGTGCCTGCCTATTCTGCAGTACTTAATACAACATCATCATTGGTCCTTGTCGCACAAACTCAATTACATGTAATCTTCTGGCGCTTTGAAATTGGCGTGAAGTGTTGTGTGTGGGTTGTTGTTTGCTGTTGGATTCAATACAGAACAACAGGTACTGTACATATGAGTACACATTTGAATGTGTAAGTCTAATGTGGTGACTGCAAACTAAACCAGGGCAGGTGATGGTTCTTATGTATTGTTGGTTATGAAGCGTGGTTATAGGCTACCTCCAGCTGACCTCATTACGTCCTGCAGTAATGTATGTAGGAGATTAGCAGAAGGAAAACTGTGCAGTGTATGAGCAACTGTGTGTGTGTGTGTGTGTGTGTGTGTGTGTGTGTGTGTGTGTGTGTGTGTGTGTGTGTGTGTGTGTGTGTGTGTGTGTGTGTGTGTGTGTGTGTGTGTGTGTGTGTGTGTGTGTGTGTGTGTGTGTGTGTGTGTGTGTGTGTGTGTGTGTGTGTGTGTTATATTGACCCATTACATCATCATTATACACGTTATCTGGGGACCCAACACTCACATCCTCAATGTATTCAACTATATCACAGGCGGACATGCACAAACATGCAAAACCAAAGTTGTGTTATTTCCTCAAATGCCACAAAGTTTATTTTGAGTGTTGATATTTTGGTTATGTTACTAAGCAGAACAAAGCAGATATACATATGGGGCTTTGAAACAGTTTAAACTTGTGGTTTAAACAGAATGTTGCTTGCACAAAAATGGCGAACCGGTGTAACAGTCAAAATGACAACATATAGGGATACAAAGAGACAAAGACAAAGGGTCTACAGCCATGCGAGTAGTTTTATGAGGATGTACCTGCTAATGCATACAATGGCAAAGCTAACATACTGATGTTTAGCAGGTATAATGCTCATTATATTTATTAGCTATACATTTTATTTCCTGAATTAAGCCTAAAATCTGAGAAAAAGCAATATTGTGACGTGAATCCTGAAAGTGAGACTTACTATGAGACTGCAGACTGGTAGCAGCTTTATGTGCTTAAAGCTTATAGCTAACTTCGGCATGCTAACATGCTAACCAAGACAACGCTTACATGCTGATGCTCAAAAGGTATTATCTTTATCATGTTCTCTATCTTTAGGCCCAATACAGCTGAGGCTGGTGACTGGTTTGGTGTTTGGTCGTATTTATATGAGACGTAATGGCAGCATCAGATCAGGGGTTCCCCAGAGTCATAACGATTCATCATCTAGGCACAACTAATGTATGTTCATGGTAATGCATCCAATAATTGTTATGGATATTTACTACTTGATGTATCAGCCTAGAGTGCTCGCCAAACAAGGGACATTGCAATCTCTCGAGCCATGCTGTTAACATGGTAGTAAACAATGTATAGTAACAAATGATGAAAAGCATAGAAGGTAATGAGATGCAATGAGATTAACTGAGATACATGCAGGGAGTCCCGGAGATTACGTCACCAGCTTGTTATATGTATGAAGAAATTGTCAGGTGACATTAATTATAGATGCCTTCTGTGATGCCTGTTTGTTTAGCATACTTTGGAAATGAAGAATGGGTCAGCAAGGTCACACGTGAGCGCTGTGCCACTCTTTCTTTCCTGCTCCCCCTCTAATTTGAAGCCGACACTCAAAGAATAATGAGAGGATTGGAAGGAATGGGAGCAGGAGAGAGGGCGACGGTAAAAGAGGAAGATGTTGAATAAAACATAACTGGTAGAAAGAGATCGATGGATGATTGGTCGAGATATGCAGGGCTTTCCTCTCCCCTGCATGCAAAGAGTGCATGCTCTTACAGTCAACATACAATGTTGCACATGACATGTATGAACACGTGCAACAACAACTTTGGATTTCACCTCAGACCACAATCACTAGGGAAATCACCACTGTGTTAATCATTTACATGTAGCTGCAGCCCATGTCGGGGCAGGCTCTCCCTTCGCTCTTCCTACCCGTGGGGGAGTCTCCCTGGACCGGGCCGTCCAGCTCTGCCCCGGTCCAGCACCGGGGACCAGCTGGTCCGAGCAGGCTCCGATAAAACCTCTGTTATTATTAGACATGGGAAATGGAAACATTTAACACGGCTGCAGCTGAGACTAAAGCCCCACGGCCCTTTCTGCAAATGACATTGCTCTTACAAACAGTCCTATTGAAATAAAGCCACTGAGGAGGGACTCTGAGTTTAGAAAGCGTAGCCTTGACCAAGAATTGCTAATCAAAAAGTTGGACAATAAATATGCAAAAGCTAAAAAAATGGCCTTTCTGCTTTCAGTTTCTCAACAGGCATAGAGCCCCAATTTTGTCATCCAATGTTTGATTTTGTCTAGACTCGAGTGTGTTAGTTTGCAGTTAGGCTTCTCGTATTGATCACAGCAGATAGCATCCAATTTTGTTTGATCAGGGTGCACATCATAGGGATTCCTGATTCTGATCACACCGCTGAGGAAAAAAGCAGTGATAGTGCTAAATATTGTTCATGCATCTGTGCATATGCCTGGTAGTAT